CCCCCCCCCCCCCCCCCCCGGCGCCACCACAAAAACGAGACACCCCGGGGGGGGGGGGGGGGCGTCCTGTTTGAAAACCTTAGGTGCGTCACAAAGCTTCACTCAGACACCTTTATTTAAGATGAAAGGTAACATTTGTGTATTTTTTCAAGTACTGTTCATTTTGATGTGGGCGCACAGGGAGGTGTTTATGAATTTCGTGGATGACCGAATCAATGGGGAGGGGGGGGGACTGATAATGAAATGTGACTTTGGTTTGAGCGACGCCCCCCCCCTCCCCCCTCCCAGGGGTGGAAAGAAAAGTGTCGTTTTGTTTGGTATATTAACTCGGCATACGATGCCACCATGTGGCCATATGATGCAAGTTTTAATAAGGATGATAATTTTATTTTTTATTTTAAAATCATATTAATAAAGTCATTGAGTACTGTAGACTACCTGCGTGACTTTGTGGACAAATAGCAATTCTGTTCTATCCCTGTCTAACCGGATCCACGTTCGGTATTTTTGTCGTTCAGTATTTTAGGCTTAAGTAAAAATTAGCCAGTCAACTTTCTGCCACTGTTCATACAGCATCAGCTGCAGAAAGTGGACTAGGTGCAACTTGCCTATTAATATTTATTATTAGTAGTATTTTTTTTTTTTTTAGAAAAAAAAAAAAATGGCAATAAGGTATATCACAGTCGCCTGCCAGGTGGATGTGTGTTGATCCAAACCACCTGGTGTCAGGTTAGGGTTAGGTTTAGCCCCACTAAGTCACCCCTCTTTTCACTGGCTGGGGTTTGGGTTCAGAAACATTGCAGTAAAGACCCCTGACAGGGTGTAGAATATCACAGTCGACACATGTCATCACTCCTCTTTTACACCAGCCATTGACTCCAACAGCACTCCCTCTAGTGGCTAATGTGAGGCATTACAAGCAGTTTCTGTTGACTTCAGTGGAGCTCAGCTCTGGCAGGTTCAGATGACTGGGTTCAGATGACTGAAATGATTTTAGGTTTGCTGACATTCCTCAATGGGGGGGGGTCAGATAACTGCCCTCTACTGGACTCTGTCTGCCAGTGGTGGGGGGTCGGCAGGGATCACACCATCACAGAAACAGTACTGATGGTGTGTATCCCGGCTGACGATGCACCTTGGTTACGTGTCGTCACCCTCGCACGGTCCTGACAAAGTACTGTTCCTTTGTCCAAAGCACACAATGCTGAATTATTGAGCTCCAAGTGATTTGTCAGAAGTGCAAAATTAAAAATAAAAAAGTATTTCCCCAACTTATAGCATATTTTCACAACACACAGCTATGCGAGTTTAAAAATAGCCAAACGGTTAATCCATTGGTGTGTGATTTAAACCAGCTGACAAGGATAATCAGGCCCTGCAGTAGCATCTCAGTATCGGCGCCACTTTAGCTTCAGCGTAGCAGCCGGCTGTACTTACCTGCCAGGCGTGTTAAGTCAGGGCCGGCCTAAGCGCTGCAGGGTGATTGGTCCCCAGGAGCGGGGCTGGTGACCCCAGCTCTACACTCATTACAGCGGCATCATTTTCCTGTGCAGTTTGTAGCTAAAAGCATCACACAACTGCTTCCAGAAAGGTGGGGACCAAACTCAAAGTGACGAATCTGAAGAGCACAATTCAAGCATTTTGTTCCATGTCAGATAATGGTTTGGCTGAAACTGACGCCATGCTACGAGTGGCCCCAACGCTGGAGGCTTGGTGTGAAGTTTAACACGTGGGATTATCTGGACTAAATGTGAAAATACCACACTTTACCGTAAAATGTGTCAGAAAGAAACAAGACCAAAGAGCTTGATGTTCAGTCAGCATTTTCACTTTTAATAGAAATTGTTTGATGCAGTCCTCGTGCAGGCCCAGAGCTGAAGCCCAACTCTGCTCACACCTTCAGTCACAAACTTAAACAATCAATACATCAGTCACCCAGTGATGAAAAGGACCAGATCAGAGCCCGACTGCCTGAATCCCTTCACCCTACGGGTAGCATTAGAACATCGCGGACAATCGGGATTATCTGAGCTTCGTCTTGGTTACTCCATGCAATAGTTTTTAAATGGGTTTTTGGTTACATACCCGGAGTACTGAAATCTAGAATCCACAGTGTGACATTATAATATAATGAGATGCATATATTAAACACACTGTTGATTCTATGGGTGTTAATGTGATACGACATGGCTGAATTAAAACATTTTCAAAGGAAACAAAGCTTCACTGTCAGGATACAATTATGTCAGAACAATGAGAAACAACTGTCACAGACAAATATGGAGATTGCAGTGCTGCTGCATGAACATGTGGGGAATTGTACATACAAGCAAAACAACAAACCGCTACGCTAAAACAACAGCTCACTTAACAGCTCTTTTCCACTTTTCACGTCTTTAAGTCCGTGAAAACGGCGCGTGGCGAGAAAACAGGATTTTCCACAATCCGTTGAGAAACCTGACATGCACTGGCCTTTCTGTAACTTTGGCAACATCGAAGTAATAAATAAAATTAAACTAAACGCAAAATACAAAAAAAAGAACCCTGAAGATTCGACAGGAATTCCATTTTATGAAAACTCCTTCAAATTCCACTTTGGATTTTCGTATGGTTTTGCAGAGTAAATAGTACAATTACAGAATTATTGTACTTCATCACAGTAGTAATAATGACAATGATATTAATAACAATCAGCTTATAAATATTGTAAAAACATGAGCAATTTTATAGTTCCCCCCCCCAGAGATCCTAGTTCATTATGTACAACAACCACACAAACGGAAACATTTACAATCAGAACCTCCCAAGGTGGAGTTAAGCACGACAGTGAGCTCTCCGGTGGGGAAGCGCAGTGAGCTCTCCGGTGGGGAAGCGCAGTGAGCTCTCCGGTGAGGAAGCGCAGTGAGCTCTCCGGTGGGGAAGCGCAGTGAGCTCTCCGGTGGGGAAGCGCAGTGAGCTCTCCGGTGGGGAAGCGCAGTGAGCTCTCCGGTGGGGAACCACTGCTTCTCTGACCTCTGGGTCTCTTCACTTTGCTGAAGCGTGGAGGTGCAGGTGAGAGTGCGTCCCCCTGTCCGTCCGGCCCCGGGCCCCGGGCCCTCGGCAGAGCCTTATTTGGGGGGCAGAGGGTTATCGGGGGTGGTGGGGGTCACTGCTTCCGTGTAGAAATTCTCAATGTGCTCCTTGTACATCTTCATCACCACTGGCCGTTTCAGCTTCATGGTCGGGCCTGAGTTTGAAGAGAAGCAACATAAATCGCAACAGGCCGGTTTTCTGGAGATTTCACAATATTTTCTGTCATTTTGAAAATGCGGGCCCTCTTATTCCCCCCCCCCCCCCCCCACCCCGGCTCTCAGGCGGCTTTGTACCAAGCTCTCCCCCCATGATAGAGAAGTCCTGGTCCAGCACGGTCCACTTCTGAATGCGCTGGGCGTTGGAGACCGCCTTCTCGTTGACGCGGTTGATGCCCTCTTGGATGGCGGCGTGAACGAGGCGGTCGCGCCCCCCCGCCATCTGCGACACCCGGGTGGCGCTGCTGCCCAGTTTGCGGCACTCCTCCACCGCCTCCTCCGTCAGCTCGTCCTCCGGGATGCCCGTGTCGCCGTTCACCTGGCACTAGAGGGGGCGAATGGGTCAGCGCGTGACGTTGGGTGAGGCAGTCACAGCCGGAACATTAAAGCAGTGAAAAGTATGACAGTTGGCCACCAGATGGCAGTAGGTGTACTTATCACAAAGGCAAGCTTACAGAATGTCACCAGTATTTACATGATGCGATTCTGATCCATCGTTATGAGGTGGAATACAATGATCCGAGGCATTTGAGAAAGACGGCAGATTGTGAAACATTGTAGCAAACATGCCCCTTATTCTGTGGTCTCTGGTTTTGTTCATGGCAATAAAGCGACTCATAAGGACTTCACCCCAAAAACGGGAAAGACAGAATGACACATGCAGTGTCACCTTGCACGTGGGCCACAGGTGTGCAGTGTCATGTGATGCACCCCCGCAGTACAGTCGTTACCTTGACGGTGAGCAGCATGGAGAGGAACTTCCTCTTGTCGCCAATAAGCATAGCGTTGCTGATCAATGGTATGGCCTCCTTCACTGCATCCTCGATGGGCACTGGGGGGATGTTCTCGCCCCCGGCCGTGATGATCAGCTCTGCAAGACGCACAGGGAGTCAGGCCCCGGGCCCCCAGCCCCGACCTGTGGGCCCCCGACCCCCAGCCCCGGCCCTCGGCTCACCCTTGATGCGGCCGGTGATGTAGAGGAAGCCCTCGCCGTCGTGCTTGCCCAGGTCCCCAGAGCGCAGCCAGCACTCTGCGTCCAGCGCCTCCTCCATCTTCTCGGGCATGTTGAGGTAGCCCATGAAGACGTGGCGGCCCCAGAAGCAGATCTCGCCGTTCCCCTCGCTGTCCGGGTTTGAGATCTTGGTCTCGCAGCCCTGGAGGACTTTCCCGCAGCTGCCGGGGGGGGGGCGGTCAGACACTGCTCAGTGATGTGCGTGCAAGAGATCCGTCATTAAGTACTGGAACTCTGTTGTTGTTCAGAATAATAATAATAATAATGACACTATTGATCCCCTTTGGGCAATTCTCCATCCTGCTCTCCATAGCACAGACACATATGTAGGTGACGGCAGGCTTGGTAGCGAAGGGCAGCCACCTGTAGCAGCACCTATGGAGGTGCTGGGGGTTAAGGGCCTCGCTCAAGGGCCCGCAGACACACGACTATTGTGCCGATGCCGGAGCTCCAACCAGTGACCTTCCAATCACGAGCACAGAGGCTTAGCAGACTGAGCCCCTTACTGATGTTTAGTAAGTGAAGCGACGGAGCCTCAGAGTAAAAGGTGTTTCCTTAAATCGAAGACACACACACAGCTACATACATGTATAAACACACACATGCATATCGCTATTCTGACGCTGGCAGAACACGGGCCCCCCCTTCATCCTGCACACGCTCATTCACACACTGACGCGAGCCCCAGTGACTAAGGAGAGGGGCAGATCCAGCGTGACTCACACCCAGACAGCAGAGGGAACAGGACGGCTGCTTGCATCACGCGTGGAGATCTCCACACGCTTCACCTTGGCTCAATGCGCCGTTTGCCGTCTGCATCAGCGCCCGCCAAACCCCCCCCCCCACCCCGGCTCTCAGGTGGCTTTGTACCAAGCTCTCCCCCCATGATAGAGAAGTCCTGGTCCAGCGCTCCTGGTTCAGCCCGGGGAATCGCTAGGGTGATGCTACGTGGCAGTGCGAGTTTTTTGGATTTAAAAATGCACCAGCTTTTCCTGCCATTAGGGGGCAGCATGTGGCTCAGCAAGCTAAGCCTCTAGCCCAGGGGTAGCCAATCTTATCCGCAAAGGGCCGGTGTGTATGAACTCAATCGCTGTAATGTGGGTAGTCGGGGTGACCAGTAGGGGGCACACTAACCACCCAGAACAGGTCAGCAATATCACTCAGGCTGAATACCCCTGATTGGGGGGGTAACTCTGTCAGGGGGGGGTGTACCTGGTGAGGCGGAAGGCGTCGGGCAGGGAGAGGGTGTGGGGGCCCGAGCATTCGCTCATGCCGTACAGCTCGTACACGGGGATGTCCAGGCTGAGGAAGAACTCCAGCGTGTCCCTGGTGATGGGGGCCGCGCCCGTGTAGCACTTCCGGCAGCGATCCAGGCCCAGCGCCTTGCGGACCTTCCGGAACACCAGCTTCTTGGCCAGCCGGTAGTTCAGGGGGGTGCGTGCCATCTCCCTGTCCGTGCAGGTGGGGGGGAGGGGCAAGAAGGAGCCAATGAGAATGAGCGAGCGGCGACTGGGGCGCGGCGACATTACCCCCCGTGGGGCCGTGTGTTCGTACCCCCCCATCCGGCTCAGGTTGGTCTGCAGCCCCACCCCCTTGGCCCAGCTGGCCACCTTCCGGCGCACGGTGGACGATTTGGCCCCCACTGACTTCATCTTCTCCTGCATCTTCTCCCACACCCTGGGGACTCCCATGAAGGCCGTGGGCCGCACGTCCCGCAGAGTGTTCACCAGTGAGCCCTGCGGAGCAGCAGCGACACGCAGTTAACCCCGGTTCGGGGGGGGGGACGTTGTCACACACCACCCAGGTCATGCCTCAGCAGTCACACGGAAAAAGGACAGGGGCTCCAGTCACAGTCACAAGGAGTCAGCTGACAGAATCACATTGCACTGCAATGTCCCCCCCCCCACACTAACGTGGTCCCGATAAGGATTTACACACACTCCCTACCCCACCTCCTCAGGCCGATGTCACCCAACCCCCCCCCCACGGACTCCTAGCTAAATGTAACACTCGTGAATTAACAGGGTTTGACAAACTGCAGGTCGACATGCGGCCATTTATCCAGGCCTCTAAAAATCACCTTGGGGTGGGGTGGGGTGGGGGGGCGTATATGAGGCTGGATGACCTCTAACCCTCACACAGTCCTGTCCACTTAGAGTCTGGTGGAGATTCTGCAGAAAAGATGCTTCTATTTCCAACTAGCTGAACTGCCATGTCCAGCTTAAAGCTTTGAGGAGAGGATGACAGGGGTGGGAGGGGGCCGTGGGTGCGAAGGGGCTCGGACCTCGATGGCGGACGCCGCTCACCTTCAGGGCGTCCGGCTGTGCAAAGTAGGCTGCGCCGCCGACCTGCATGGTGAGCCAGATGTCAATCATCTGCGCCGCGATGTGGCTCAGGGGCAGGTAACTGACCACCACCTCCTGGGCCGCATCGGCCTCGGTCAGCCGCACGTTCTTTCCCGTGGCGTACGCTGTCCACGTCAGCTGCGGGAGGAAGGGCGCCCCCAAGAGGTCAGGCAGGGGCAGGGCGATCGTGATGGACTAGGTACTAACACTTCAGAAGATTCAGATCAGGATGGAGCTGAAAATGACACCTATTAGAATCTAACTCAAACAAGCAGCGGTGGATTTAAATGTGTCCACAGTAGTTAAATCAGAATTAGAGTCAAATTGCATTTACACTCAAAATGGTTTAACTTTAATCCAGATTTACAACCATGAACGGGAATGGGGCCTCACATTGTCGTGACTCAACATCACGCCCTTGGGCTGCCCTGTCGTGCCCGAGGTGTAGATCAGGGTGCAGCACTGGTTGGGCTTCTGGCTGGCGGTGATGTCATCCAGCTGCTTGTCTGCCACGTCCTGCGCCAAGGCCATGAACTCCGCCCACTGGGCCAGATGGAATCAGCCAACCAGAGACAAATAATCAAGGCAGACAATGAGACTATCTGCTTTTTTACCATTCAACATTCACAGCCATGTAAATCATACCGTAAGATTTGCTAGCTCGACAGAATGACAGTGTTTTCATAATAACAAAAGTAATAAAATTATAATTCTGCTATAATTTTTGCGAAACATTAAACATGTTTAATTAAGAACATCTAAAAAAATTCTGATATCTTTTCAACCCCCAACCATAATACTCTATAACCTACCGAGTATAAATTTGGTTTCTTTTCCTTCAGAGAATCTTTATACTGAATTATGGCTTTCAGATGTGGAAGCTTGTCTTGAATCTGAAACAAATGTGCAATAACAAAAACTCATCAGTAAATCAGAGTGTACTGTTGATGTCGACACATGGCAGGCTATAAAAGCTAATAAACATAATCCAAACAAAATACAGACATAAACTTTCAGTGCATAAGATCTTATGCCACTGAGTACATTTAGAACCAGATTAAGACCGATTCAACTCAAATTATAATCATGACATAGACTGAAACTGGAATGTGAATCCAGCTGGTCCTAATGATGATGAGACTTGTGTTCGTTGCTCAGAACTCTGCTCAGAGTTCAGGTTCTGGCTCAGGCTCACGTTAGTGGTGCAGGTACCATCCACTCTCTCCGTACCTGCAGGATCTTCTGCAGCTGCTTGTGGTTCTCCACCACCAGGATGTTGGCCTGGCAGTTCTCCGCCACATACTGGCACGCCTCCGGGGAGTTGGTGGTGTAGATGCCCACCGCAAACCCGCTGTGACACAGGCACCATTAACAACCGTATGACTGGGGAGGAAGTGCATCTATAGGTGGGCTTTCTGAGCACCGAGCAGGACCCAGTCTCAATCGTGTCATGTGATGCTGTCACATGATGCTGTCATGTGATGCTTTTTGATGATTAATTTAAACTGAGTCTTACAAGTGAATCTTACTGTTTATTTTATTAAATAGTAGGGTCTGACAGTTTGGATTAACTATCATTATGTTTAAATGATCTATATAAAATAATTTGACTCGACTTGACACCAGTCAGTACTGGGTACTCACCCTGCCAAAATAGCAGCGATGTCCGTGATGAACCACTCTGGGGAGTTGAAGCCCAGGATCCCGACCCCGTGGTACCGCTCCAGACCCAGCTGTCAACAGAACAGAACAGAATCTTGCGGTCAGGTCGATGGGCAAAGCACGCTCACGCACACGGACCTTGTGTGTCAACAAATTCAAGAGACATCTGTCAAATCAGCCATTTGTGGTGGAGGTTCCGCCTCTGTGGGGCCGTCGGTCTGCGATGGTCTTTCTTTTGTAGTCTCTCTCTTCTTCTTAGTAAAGCGTCTCCCATTTGAGCCAAGTCCCCCCCCCCCCACATCTGCCCCCACACGGTGGTACAGCGCCTTGCCAAAGCAATCAGCGTACCTAATGACAACCAAACTGCTCCAATTTTTTTTATAAATAAAATGTTGAACAAATTTGCTTGGATAAATATTCAACACGCATACACACATTATTTAGCAGAATCACCAATGACAGCGGTAAGTCATAAGAACATAAGAACATGAGAACATAAGAACTATACAAACGAGAGGAGGCCATTCTGCCCATCGAGCTCGCTTGGGGAGAACTTAACTAATAGCTCAGAGTTGTTAAAATCGTATCTAGCTCTGATTTAAAGGAACCCAAGGATTCAGCTTGCACTACATTATCAGGAAGACTATTCCATACTCTGACTACACGCT